TTGGTGGAGTTCGCCCTCACCATGGAGAAGCTGCTGCTGTCACACACAATGTATCTGGGGGAGCCCCAACAGGTAAGGACAGTCACACACACACCTGTCACTTTCCCCTGTTGCGCAGGAAATGTCATGACATGGCATACAGTGTGGCTGTCAGTGATCAGAGTCAGCTGTTTTAGCCAATGAACCTGCGCAGGGACACCTAAAACTTCAATAGCAACTGCACACTTGGCAGCTTGTGTTGATGAACCTGCGCAGGGATGCCTAGTGGGCTATGACTCCGCATACAGTGAAAGTCCTCCTGTATACTCAGGAGCAAGGGCCAATGAACTTGCGCAGGGATGCCTAGTGGGCCATGACTCTGCATACAGTGCAAGTCCTCCTGTATACTCGGGAGCAAGGGCCGATGAACATGCGCAGGGATGCCTAGTGGGCTATGACTCTGCATACAGTGAAAGTCCTCCTGTATACTCAGGAGCAAGGGCTGATGAACCTGTGCAGGGATGCCTAGTGGGCCATGACTCTGCATAGTGAAAGTCCTCCTGTATACTTGGGAGCAAGGGCCGATGAACCTGCGAAGGGACGGGGAAAACGTCATCAGTTGGCAAAAGCCATGGCTCGTTATTAATTATCCCCTTCTCCCCCTTCTTGTCACCCACAGATCATGCAAGGGTTCAGTGAGCTCGGCTTCCCCCAAGTAGTGGGTGCTGTAGACGGGTGCCACTGTTTGATCGTGCTACCCTTGGGGAGGAGGAATGAGTTTGTGAACTGAAAGGACACCTACTCTGTTGTTCTCCAAGGGAACATGGATCATCGAGGATGCTTTGTAGATGTGGAAGTGGGCTGGCCTGGATCGACTCACGACGCGAGGGTGGCGAGGAATTCCATCATCTTTCAGGCCATGGAGGCTGGCATCTACGTGCCAGGGAACCCCACCGTCACCCTGAGGGGCCAACAGATCGGCCCCCTCCTGCTCGCCAACAGCGCCTACCCCATTCGGAAGTGGCTGATGAAGCCCTACCAGGGCAACCTCAATGCCAGGCAGAATGGATTCAACAGGAGGCTGAATCAAGCCAGAAATGTGGTGGAAAGGGCCTTCGGCCAGCTGAAGGCTCGGTGGAGGTGCCTCACTGCCCCACTCCTTGTGGCAGAGGAGAATGTCATCCCTATCATCACCTCCTGTGTCATCCTCCACAACATCTGCAAGACGAAGGGCAGGGTCCTGGATGAGGGAAGGCGCTACATGCGCCGCTTTATGCTGCCCACCCTGGGGGCACCCATGGAGCACAATGATCTCATAAAAC